AAAAAAAAAAGAAAATGAAAAAGTTTTCAACAGGTTTTTGTGTCCCTGATAATGACAAAACCTTGTCGAAACGTTGTACATTTGCTGTTATGTTAAACTTATATTAAAGTTTTTCTTCATTACCCACTCAAGCTGTCTCCAGCCATTATTAGTCTCAAAGTGGGTTCCTCGTCATCGAATTTATTTCTACCTTGTTCCGGTGAAGAATCATTGATTTAACCCTTTCACTACCGTATTTACAAATAACCCCCCCAAACGGCATTCTTTTAGATGCACACTAAAAAAAACAGACACATACATTTTAATATTTTGTTACATAGCTAAAACTGATAAGCATTCGGAAAGTTCAAAGGAAAGGGAGATCCTTTTTTGTTCTTGCCGGTACAAAATTTCTAACTTACGTGGCAGTGCTCTACAGGAAGGCACGTACGTGCTCGTTGCAGTGAAGGAGTTAGAGACCAAGTTGCACAACTTTTGAGAAGAGCTTTTCCATGTGCGACTCTCGGAATATTTTCAGAAATACCTTGAGACTTTTTCATCTTTTTGTCTTACAAAAATAAAATTGCCCATATAATGAGGTCATAAGCCCTCTCACTATGGGCTTGGTGGATTACACCGACCTTGTGCCCACAAAGTAACCATCAGTTCCCATATTATAACTTTTAATATGTTTTGTATATCTTCACGAAATCTAGCAAGCTTTCAGTAAACATTACCAGTCAAAGTGTTACTGCTCCAAGTCAAAAGTGATTTTCATGTTTAGATTAAAAAATACTTTTCTTCACCTGAAAACTGTCCAATTTCACTATATCTTAAAGAAATAAACATTTTTTTCAGAACTTTATATTTTATCTGTTATTTTCTCAATATGCATTTAATAATTGATTTGACCAATCTCATAACCACCATAAAAAAATATACATCTAAATTACCCCCCCCCCTTTTTTTTTCTGTCTAGAATGACTGCAACTTGTAACAGAAAACCTTAATAGCTTAAAAGATTGTAACAGTATACATGTGTTTATACTTATATTTTACTGTTTTATTGCCCTTTGACCCATGTGTAACTAATAATCCCACCACACAAGTTGTAAAAAACATGTAGCTCTAGTTACCATATTACATTATGTAATGCACAAGCTGCTTCCAAAAATTATTGTTATTATTAATTTTCTTTGTCTTACCTAATTTAGCCTAATAAGTTTTTAATTTTTACATTTTAGTTACTTTTATGATAATAGATAAAGAATACACATGAAAAACAAGAAATATAGTACTTACCTGGGTCCACTTGTATTTTTGCTGTTGACTGTCAATGAAAGTAGTTAAACCTACTGTTTTATACTAACGGTACTGATACACAAAATTTTTATTTAATTAAATAAATGCACCTAAGAACAGAATAACACGCACAAAGTAAACAATGTCATATAACTATCAAAATTCAACAGGCTTTTTAACTATGCAATAGAGAGCCTTTAGAAATATAGCTAAGCTTGTCAATGTTAATACCACAAGAGTAATTTTCTAACTGGAGGCAAAATGGACGATATTCAGGGCAGAAAACAATTTAGTATGATACATCATTTTATAGATTACAACTTTGGCTTTCTGTTGGTTATAAATAATATGGTATAAAATGTCAAAGAGTGTTATTGGCAAACTGTGAAAGACAGGATTTGACAGGTGGGCATGGCAAGTTGGTCTGATTTTCTAATTTATGGCTCTGTAAACAAATAAGATAGAAGTCTATAAATATTTTGCTTTGCCTAAATAATATCTACTTTATAATAAGCAGTTTACTTTAAATTCCGTACTTCTCAGAGGGGTGGTAAATAACATTAGAGACTGGAAAAGGCTTAAATAATAAAATCACAATTCTCATACTGGGAAGATTGAAGATGTTTTAAATATTTCCTTATAAATTAAGAACTTAGAACATAAATAATATTAAAATTTGGTTTATTAACTACATTTGTATACCACGTTTATTCATATACAATGAAAATAAGGTAGTTTAAATTTTGAATGTAGCTCTAAAATGTAATGACATGCATTTTGACCTACCCATAATGAGAGAGTTATTGCTTATAAATATGCCTGTCCTTTCTGCTCAAAAATGTAGATCAGCTCCACTACCCAAATTCACATCAAAAAAATTGTGTACACAGACCATCTGCTCTTCACAACAACTTGTGAACAGGGATCATCTGCTCTTCATAACAACTTGTGAACAGGGATCATCTGCTCTTATAACAACTTGTGAACAGGAATCATCTGCTCTTCATAACAACTTGTGAACAGGGATCATCTGCTCTTTATAACAACTTGTGAACATGGATCACCTACTCTTTATAACAACTTGTGAACAAGGATCACCTACTCTGTATGACAACTTGTGAATATGGATCATCTGCTCTTTATAACAACTTGGGAATATGGATCATCTACTCTTTATAACAACTTGTGAACAAGGATCATCTGCTCTGTATGACAACTTGTGAACAAGGATCATCTGCTCTTTATAACAACTTGTGAACAGGGATCATCTACTCTGTATGACAACTTGTGAACAAGGATCATCTGCTCTGTATGACAACTTGTGAACAGGGATCATCTGCTCTTTATAACAACTTGTGAACAGGGATCATCTACTCTGTATGACAACTTGT